GGAATTTGATAGTCCTGATTAGAATTTTGATACGTATCTTGTCTTCCTTCCTTTTTAAACTTTAAATACTTGGTTGTTAAAATGGTTTTTATTTAAAAGATTTTGAAAGTTTAAAATCATCTAGTATCTTATAAATTCAGGATCTATTTGAGAACATTTAGGTTCTCCACAGTTATAGCATTTTCTAGATGACGATGATCTAGAACAATCTTAGGTTTTTTTAGAAGGACGAGGATTATTAAAGTAAATGGTTTTTAAGCTATAATTCCTTCTCATTGGTCCTTTGAGGAATAGATGTCTTCACAATTTTTTCTATTTCTAGTTCGAATGAGTTGAGTTTTTTCGTATTTATCTTAATTAGTAAAAAAATTGTCATGGAAATACAAAAAATTAAACTAATAATTAAAATTGTTTATTCCATTCATAAAATTTTAGGCATTTTAACCTATATATACACATATATCTATACTATATTATAAAGCATTTGACAAAAATTCTTAAAAACCATTTTTTATGCATGAAGTACTGTTTATTGATGCGTATTACTTAAAATACAAGATTACAAGTAAATTGAGCGTAAGTACAACTTATTAAAGCTTCATGTTTGAATTCGTGTAACTAACTGCAGATAAACATCTTATTTTAAATATAAAAAATCTAAAATATAATTAAGATAATCATTGAGTTCTAACAAAATACTTAATTGTTATCTTTATAAAAAAAATTATATTATTAAACAAAAAATAAAAAAATGAATTAAAGAAATATACAAAAAAAAGGAGAAATTTTAAATAGTTAGTTTGTACTAATATCAATATTTTTTTTCATTTTTTATGATATCTTCATATTTATTTTTATTCAAAAATAAAAACGTTATCGCTTTTTCAAAACCACGTAAAACCATATTATAACATCGACTAAGACAAAAATAAAAAAGACGAAACATTAAAATCGAGATGTATCTCGCTGTATTGTGCGAGTATCATTCTAATACATGGATAAGATTCCATTAAATTTGTTATATACTATTTATAACAATTATGGGTAAAAATGTTTGTTTCACTAGAGAGGAGTTGATGCAAATTTTGATGTTTACCGTGAAAAATGTTGTCATGGAGGTCAAAGATGGTCCAAAAATGACTTTTAGTAAAATAAGTTTTATAAGACGTTAAATAAGTGTAAGGGGTTGTCTACTAACTGCTGACCAGGCTGACTCAGTCAGCAAATCTGACTCGGTCAGTAGTCAATGTGTTTACCAAATCATGGATCTGACCGAGATATTACCCAACCAGCGTCAAATTTATGCTTACCCGAGTCAGATCTTTGCTTTCCATACTTTGCCCTATCCAAAAGATAAATAAATAGACTTATCTAAAAGTTACAAAAAAAACATAATTTTTAATTATATTGATTGTTAAAGTCTTAAAGATAGAAACATGTAAATAAACCAATATAGTGTCGATTTTTGGAGTTGTGATAATTGGCCTATTCGATTTCTCGACTATGCCCTCAACTTTAATAAGTCTGTGATAGACATTCTCACAGAAGCCATAGGTTATTTTGAGAAGTGGTTAAGTATTTGAGAAGTAAATAAGTGATCCTCGTCCTTCATACGGTCAATATCGGATTTGACTGGTCAAAATTTGCTGCTATGTAAAAAATAGAGCGAGTAATTTCATAACTTTTACAATAGGCAGCAAACTGGTTCATATATCAACCTGTTCATATGTGAACCCGTATAATTTACATATGAACAATATTAACTAATTCACATATGAACCTGTGATTCACTCTAATTCAATGATTCACATATAAACCTGTGATTCACTCTAATTCAATGATTCACATATGAACAAATTAACTGATTTATATATGAACTAATTAATTGATTCACATATACTGAAATATAAATGACTGAAATATAAAGACTGAAATATAAATACTGAAATATAAATACTGAAATATAAAGACTGAAATATAAAGACTGAAATGTAAATTATTAATAACTAAATAATATTAATTAATATTAATCTAATCATAATAATGAAAGAAAGTACATGATGGTACATGATGGGATGACAAATGGTACTTTGATGGGATGAGGAGGTGACATAAGAAAACCTTGGAAAATGGAGTTGACTTTTGAAGAAAACTTGCAAACTAAGTAACGAAACTTGCAAAACAAGTTNAAATGGAGTTGACTTTTGAAGAAAACTTGCAAACTAAGTAACGAAACTTGCAAAACAAGTTTCGTTACAAAGACCGAAAGATTACTTGCAAACTCGTAAAAATAGATTATTTAGTCTACGTAAATTAACCGTGAGCCACAACGGATGAGATCCGATGTAAAGCAACAACGATCGATTAATTCGTAACTCGTAAAAGATAAGAAAACGTAACATAACTTAGAACAGAAATGAGATGAATATTAAACACGAATACTTAAATTAGAATTTGAAAATGAAAGCACAACTACAAAAGTTGGTTCTTGAAAAGTCAAACAACGTAAACCGAAAGCTTAAAACCGAAAGCAATATTCTAGAGAGCAATTATCACTAATATCACAAGTGTTAAATGGTAGAAAGTATAAAAAAGTGTTTTAAAACAAGCCTTAAGCCTTCTTTATATAGGCTAAGGAAGATCACATAGTGGGTGCCAACTAATAAGACAAAAGCTTCTTCAAAACTGGGCTTTGACCGGGCCCAAGGTCGTTGACCACGCCTCCTCTATGGATTAGCCCATTTCTCCATGGCCCAAGCAGAATTTCAACTCTCGGACAGGTACTATAGGACCTTGCCACTCCTGGTCCTGTAGGACTGCCGTAGGACTGGGCCCAAAAATCATCAAAAACCTGTAAAAACAGGGAATTAACATTAGATATACTATATAACTACTAATATCTAAAAAAGACATAAAAAACTCAATTAAGACACTAATGGGTAAATAAAACAAAGGAAAATGGTTAAGAAAATGATGTAATAAGGTTAATAAATTAACACTTATCACATATGTAAACAAAGTACTCAACACTGTCTATTTCGTCCATCAACTCTGAATTGATGATTTATTGAAAGGTAAACAAAAGCAAAAGAAGACACAAATTGCAACGAAAAATTCAATAAGGTTCCAATTTTATTCAATAAAGCACTAAGCATCGAAAAAGCGCCAATCTTGTTGAACGTTTGATTGCTAATTTGCAGCAATTAGTTTGTATGTCTGCCATACGAAATAACAGCACTTGGCAATCAAAATAAATCGAAATATCGGTCATTCGTTGTCATGTAGGTGTAAATTTGATGGTAATACTGTTGTTAAACTGCCATTATGAGATCGTTAAATCAAAATATGGGTTTTGCCATAAATCAGTAATGCTAAATTGCCAATACATGTTTGTAACACATTGGGAACTCAATGATAGTTGATCTCCACTGGAAATCGTATATGTTTATATCCATCAAACTGGTCAAGTGATGCTACAGATGACAAGTAAAGTTCTCTATGATCCAAAACAGAAGAAACGTAAGTGGATTTAGTCGTGTCAACAAGTCATGTTTAGATCGTACCCCCTAACGACCTGAATATTGCAAATGTGGTTTTTGGAGGTTTCTGAAAACCTTCCAGTATGGCCATGGAGGCACTTGTTTGATGGTGGTGAGCAACAATGATTGTTTACTACTGGCGTGAGCAGCTTTCCTTTGCCTGTTGTTTGAAACTGGTGTCAGCAGCTTGTGTTGTCGTGTTGTTGCCGTTGATAAAAAAGAAAAGGGTCGTCATCTAGTCAAGATATGCGACTTGTGTGAAACACTGGATAATTTCTCACACGGGTATGTGGATGTTACTGCAATTTACATTTCTGTCATTTAATTTCCAGTACTTTACTTTCAGTCATTTACATTTCTGTTATTTGATTTCCAGTACTTTAAATTCCAGTATTTCCATTTCCTGTAATTTACTTTCTGTAATTTATTTTCTGCAATTTACTTTTCCGTCTCGGTTATTTATTTTTTAGTCCTTACATCCTTCGAGAGAAGAAACCGAGCAATGATGGGCTAACGCCTTAGCTTGGGGTGTAACGGGAAATTAAGACCAAAGCCGATGTGAAAGTACAAAGGTGTCTTATTAGCATTATAGTCTACTATTTATTTCAGGTGCTTAATATTTCATTTAATGATTACATTAAAATTAATTGACAACTAATTTTGTGTATAAAAATGTATTGACTTTCAAAACCTGAGGTAAAAGGAGAAAGCTATAAATAGCTTTAGTGTCTGACAAACGCTATACTCCTACGGTGTAGGATGGTAGCACTGTGTTGTGCTAGGATTCACGACGTCTAACATAAATCATATCGTATCRATAGCACGTTGACCGGTGTGTGTTCTTGGGAGGCCGTCTGACCCAATAGTTGATACTGTTATAGTTATATAAAATCATTTATTGATTTTAGATAATTGTGACAGGAATGCTATGTCACCTTTTTGCTGAATCATTTGTTTAATGTCTTAATCAACTGTTGCACCCTGTGCTTCTTCTTAAGACTAATATTTTCTTAGTTGTTAATCAAACCTCCCCATTTTAGATAAATCAAATCCCTCGATTCGCCATCTGAAATTAATTTTTATAAACTGGACTTTTTGAAATAACTTTACAAGCTATCTCTGTGGGAACGATATCTGGTACTTTTTTACCATTATTACTTGTTACGAGACGACAGTAGTTCGAGGTGTATACTTGCACCAAGTTCTATTTTAGTGTTGGAATCTAAGGTTGAATAAACTGACGAGCAAGTTTTTGGCACCGCTGTCGGGGATAGTACACTGAAGTTTTTTCTTTTTAAGTAAAGTTTATAAAAGTTAGTTTTTCTACCATCTTTTGTGAACGCACCGTGCATGCTAAGGCTGTCGCACGGTGAAAATTTTCCACTTGATCCGGATATTGAACAAACTTTTAGACAACGAAGAAGAGTGCAAAGAGCTCTTCGAGCTTTAAACTCCGAAACGATGGATGAAAATGTGATTATTGACGGAGAAGGTATATTTAGAAACGAACCAAATATTCCATATGAGGATGAGGCTCAAAACATCTTTCGTCTTGAAAATGCTAAAAATGGTGGCATTATGGCGTACGCTATTCCTAATTTAACTAAACTGCACACAGGGATACGTAAGCCTACCATTGATGCCACCCATTTTTCACTTAAACCACTGATGTTTCAAATGCTTCAAACAAACGGCCAGTACGCTGGTTTATCTTCTGAAGATCCTCATTCTCATCTGCGTTCTTTCATGGAAATCACAGACTCTTTTCTCATCCCTGATGTTTCAGACGATGCTTTGAGACTAAAACTTTTTCCATTTTCACTAAGGGATCGAGGAAGAGCATGGTACAATTCTTTGCAACCAGACTCTGTGACTACATGGAATGAAATGGCAGAAAAGTTTTTGAAAAAGTATTTTCCACCCACGAGGAATGCCTAATCCAAAAATGAAATCTGTACTTTTAGACAACTAGATGATGAAGCAGTTCCTGATGCATGGGAAAGGTATAAAGAGCTGCTGAGAAAATGCCCTCACCATGGCATTCTGTACTGCATACAGCTAGAGACATTTTACAACGGTTTAAATATCGTTGCTAGACAAATGCTCAACGCTACTGCAGGCGGTGCTTTCACAGCTTGTACCTATAATGAAGGTTTTGACATACTTGAAAAGATTTCCAACAATAACGGACAATGGTCTGACCCACGTGCAATGCCATTGAAGAAAACAGCTGGAATAAATGAGGTAGATGCTGTCTCGGCATTAACAGCTCAGATCAGTAAACTAATTTCAAATTTAACATCTAGCCCACATGTGCAATCTGATGCTAATACCTTTAATTCCAATGTTCAATCAGTGCAACGCGTGTATTGTGGTGAAGGTCACGCTTTTGAGCAGTGTCCTGAAAATCCGGAGCATGTAAATTATGTCAACAAGACTGGACCATTTTCACAGACTTATAATCCGGGATGGCGAAATCATCCAAATTTTTCGTGGCATAGTCCAGCTCTTAATCCGCCAATGCAAAAGCCTCAAGGACAGTCCAATTTTCAACAAGGACAGTCCAATTTTCACTCACAAGCGCATCAAGGCAATCATAATAATCAACATGCTAATTTTCAGAATCATCAGTCTTCTTTCCAAAGCAAGCCCAAACAACAAGCTGATTCATTTACTTCTTTGGAAGYAATGATGAAGGGTTTTATAACCCAAACTCAATCTTCAATTAAACATCTCGAAACTCAAATGAGACAGATGGCTTTGGAGATTAGAAAAAGACCAGTAGGTTCTCTACCCAGTGATACAGAGATACCTCAGAGGGAAGGAAAGGTGTTAAGGTTGTTACTTTAAGGAGTGGAAAGAGTTATTTAGAAAACACCGAAAAAGAACAAAAAAAACCAAACAAAGCAGAGATTGAAAAGAAAAGTGTAGAATAAGATTCTGTTACCTCTGTACCAGATTTTGTGACTACCATTCCTGTGAGTACTAGTGAGCCGCAACCCATAGTCAGGCCCATAGATAGTACGGCCATTCCAGAAAGATCAGATTTTCCTCTGTTATTTCCTGATGAACCCAAGACAACCCAGACTCCCAAAGAAAGTGTTGTAGTAGATGTGTCACAATCTGGTGACAGTCCCGCAATAAAAGACCAGACCAGTCCTTTAATCCCTGTTAGGACTGAATCAGAACCAATTGTGAGGCCAGTTTTGAAACTGAATCCAGCACCAACTCTTCAAAAGACTACGTTTCCTATTCCAGTCACTCCTTATATTCCTTATCCTCAAAGATTAAGGAATCAGAAGGAAGAATTACAATTTAAAAAGTTTCTTGACGTTTTTAAACAGTTGCACATAAATATACCCTTGGTTGAAGCTATTGAGCAGATGCCAAGTTATGCAAAGTTTTTAAAAGACATTTTGAGCAAAAAGAAAAAGTTGACTGAATACGAGACCGTAGCTCTGACTGAAGGTTGCAGTGCTTTGTTGTCCAGTAAAATTCCTCCTAAGATGA